TCAAATGACTGGTACATGGGGTAGGATCATCAAACAGCCAAATCATTAGATGTCTTAAGTCATCCTCTATTCAGGTGGTCAACCAACCARTATCAATTAAGCCCTAGTGCAGAGTTCTAGGTCCCATGGAAGATTTGTACCATCTAGTTGGAGATAAAAGTATACCTAGGCATCATTTAACATTATTTTATGAAAAAGATAATAGAGATGCACTCAGAGAGATGTCTCAGGAGGCAATTTCATCATTGTGTAAACATAGTGTACTTAAATGAAGGCCACTATGATGCCACTTGGCAATATAATCTTATGGGACCACCATCATATACGTGGTCCATTGATGACCAAAAACATCATTATACATCTCACGACTGTAAAATTTTTTAAAAATAAAACGTTAAACCACAATGTGAAAGTTACAAAAAGTATTCAAATATGTTCTCATCCCAGACCTAATTAATCAGAATATCTAAGATGGATCTCAGGCGTTTATGAAGCTCAACAAAGTCCAGTGGTTTATGAACCACCGAAAATAACAGTACAGATTGAGGATGAATGGAAATGTGAGGAATCCAACTATGGTCAACAGTGGGAGGGATGAAGGGAAGAGGAAAGAAAAATCCCTTAGAGAAATATAGTTCTCCACATTCTACATTCTAGATTTCAACCCTCATCTTTTATGTGCTAAGAAGTTTTCATATTTTATTCTTTCATAAATGCAGAAAATCAAGTAAGAGGAAATCTTTTTAGCTAGAATTGATGCAGAGATGGAAGGGTCTTGCACAATTTGTTTGCCAAAGATACAACTTCAAGTGAAGGAATATGATTTTCTACCAATCTTTTAAAGTGACCTTGGAAATGAACGAAAGCTTCTTTGTTCAGGGTTTGGGAGCATGGACATGTACTTGAGTATTCAACTAAAATCTTCACATACACAGAATCCCCAGGCTAAAATTTCCCCTGGGTCTATCAGTGAAGATGGTAAGGAATTAGATTGAAATTGCCAAGTACACAGAAGATTTTATGAGCAAAGATTTCCAAACTTTATTTTTAAAAATTCTCAAAGATAGAAATAAAAATCCAACTTTCAGTTAAAATGGAAATATCAGCAGAAAAGAGAACAGCAGAAAAATGAAACCTTCAAAAGAATTGTTTTTCCAAATGAATAGAGCTATTTACCCTGAAGGGCTAGAAAGAAAAAAGGCCAGATATATAATAATTTTAAGTATGTAAAATTTGTATCCTGTGACTTGTCCTTATCATATGCAGAAAATAGGATTTACCAAAGAGAAAGAAAATTCAGCCATAGGAAAAAAAATAAGCTTCATAAAAATATATGAGCAAAATTATTACAATCCAGATTACTGAATTGGCCTCCAGAGACCCAGCACTGAATCTTAGATAGTGATGTGCTAGTAAGTGTTTAATAGACTGAACTGCTCTTTGGGAGGGGAGAAAAGAAGCTCTGAGGTATAACTTGTGTTGATTTCCATGGTGTAAATGCTTTCATCATGGCTGTTTTCAGGCTGCCAACACAATGTCAGTGAATACAGAGCTGGGAAGGAATGCTCAGTAGCACACTATTATAAATATGATATTTATTTAGTCATACATGGCATTGGGAGCATAGATAATAGGAAAATGTAATAAAAATGATTAGGTATTGAGTTTTGAGTATTCATTACCTTCCAAGAAATACAATGGACTTACATTTACCTTGAAGGTTTAATAATGCCTTTGTTTAACAACTGAGCACCAAAATTTTTGAAATTTTAACAATTGGCTGTCAAGAGCCTTTATGAGGCCAGCTCTAGCACAGCATTGGGTTTAGTCACTGTTTCAAGTGGAGGAGAGTCACAGAAGCATAAGTTCTCAAAGCAATTTTCCTAAGTTATTCCCAAATATTTTCCCTTTGACTTTAATCAATAGTTAACATGATTGTTTCCTTTGCTGTGAAGAAGATTTTTAGTTTGATACCATCCTGTTTATTGATTCTTGATGTTATTTCTTGCTGGGAAATTCAGTTCCTAAATTGACATGATAGAAAGTTGGGCCTGTATTTTCTTCTAGTAGACTCAGGGTCTCTGGTCTAATGCCTGGGTTCTTGATCCACTTTGAGTTGAGTTTTGTGCAGGGTGAGAGTTAAATTTCATTCTACTATCTATGGATTTCCAGTTTTGCCAGCACCATTTGTTAAAGAGGCTATCTTTTCTCCAATGTATGTTAATACCACCTTTGTCTAGTATTTATGTGGATTTGTCTCTGTCTTCTATTCTGTTACATTGGTCCTCATGTCTGTTTTGGAGACCATAGCATGCCATTTTTCTTATTATAGCTCTGTAGTATAATTTGAGGTCTGATATTGTGATGTTTCCTTCACTTTTTTGTAGGGGAGAGGTACTGGGGATTGAACTCAGGGGTACTAGACCACTGAGCCACATCCCCACTCCTATTTTGTATTTTATTCAGAGACAGGGTCTCATTGAGTTGCTAAGTGCCTCACCATTGCTGAGGCTGGCTTTGAGCTCATGATTCTCCTGTCTCAACTTCCCAAGCCGCTGGAATAATAGGTGTGCACACCTCGCCCAGCTTCCTTCACTTTTCTCACTAAGGATTGCTTTGGCCATTCCAGGCCTCTTGTTTTCCAAATGAATTTCATGGCTGCTTTTTCTTTTTCTTTTTTTTTAACATTTAAAAAAAGCGATTTTATTTTTTTGTTGATTTTTTAAAAAAATAAATGACAGCAGAATGCATTACAATTCTTACTACACTTATACAACACAATTTTTCAKATCTCTGGTTGTATATAAAGTATGTTGACACCAATTTGTGTCTTCATACATGTACTTTGGATAATGATATCTATAACTTTCCACCATCCTTGCTAATCCCCTGCCTCCTCACTTTCCCTCCCACCCCTCTGCCCTATCTAGAATTCATCTATTCCTCCCATGCTCCTCCTCCCTACTATGAATCAGCCTTCTTATATCAGAGAAAACATTCGGTATTTGTTTTTTGGGGATTGGCTAACTTCACTTAGCATCACCTTCTCCAGCACCATCCATTTACCTGCAAATGCCATGATTTTGTTCTCTTTTATTGCTGAGTAAAATTCCATTGTATATATATATGCCACATTTTGGCGAAGATGTGGGGGAAAAGGTACACTCATACACTGCTGGTGGGACTGCAAATTGGTGCAGCCAATATGGAAAGCAGTGTGGAGATTCTTTGGAAATCTGGGAATGGAACCAGCATTTGACCCAGCTATCCCTCTCCTCGGTCTATACCCAAAAGACTTAAAAACAGCATACTACAGGGAAAAACCACATCAATGTTTATAGCAACACAATTCACAATAGCTAAACTGTGGAGCCAACCCAGATGCCCTTCTGTGGATGAATGGATAAAAGAAAAAAATGGCTGCTTTTTCTATTTCTATGAGGAACATCATTGGAATTTTAATAGGAATTGCATTAAATCTGTATAGTACTTTTGGTAGTATGGCCATTTTGACTATATTAATTCTGTTTATCCAAGAACATGGGAGATATTTACATCTTCTAAGGTCTTCTTTAATTTCTTTCTTTAGTGTTCTGTAGTTTTCATTGTAGAGGTCTTGACTGTATAACTTTTGCTAGTAAACAGATGGATCTGGAGACTATCATGCTAAGTGAAATAAGCCAATCTCCAAAACCAAAGGCCAAATGTTCTTTCTGATATGCAGATGCTAGCACACAATAAGGGGAGATAGGGCTGGGAAGAATAGAAGTTCAGCAGATTAGACAAAGGGGAATAAATGGAAGGAAGGCAGGGATGGAATTAGGAAAGACAGTGGAATTATTCAGAAATAACTTTCCTGTGTTCATATATGAATACACCACCAGTGAAACTCCACATCGTGTACAACCACAAGAAGGGGATCCTAATTAAATAAGTTATATTTTAAGTATGTATAAGATGTCAAATTGACTCTACTGTCATGTATATCTAAAAGGAACAAATAAGAATGAATAAATATTAAAAATAAATAAAATTTAACATAAGAGCCAATTAAGCAAAGAGAACTTTTGGAAACAATCTATCAGAAACACTGTATGCTTGTAGGTCAGTGGTTCTTAACTGGCAATTTTGCTCCTGGGGGGACATTTGGGAATAACTAGGGGCATTTCTGATTTTCACACTGGGGCATCTGGTGGCAAGACATGCATTGAAGCTGAGAAACCTGAGCCACAATCCCAGCCCAAATGCCTGGGTTCTTGATCCACTTTGAGTTGAGTTTTGTGCAGGATGAGAGTTAAATTTCATTTTACTACCTATGGATTTCCAGTTTTCCCAGCACCATTTGTTGAAGYGGCTATCTTTTATCCAACATATGTTAATAGCACCTTCGTCTAGTATGAGATAAGKGTATTTATATGGATTTGTCTCTGTCTTCTATTCTGTTCCATTGGTCTTCATGTCTGTATTGGAGCCCATAGTATGCCATTTTTGTTATTATAGCTCTGTAGTATAATTTGAGGTCTGGCATTTTGATGTCTCCTTTATTATTGGGTCTTCAGTACAAAGTGACATKCGATACATTTCTTATGAACTAAGTACACAATAGTTTCCTCTGTCAGATAACAAGGATTTTGTAACTCATTGTGTCTGCCCTTTATACTTCACTCGCAGTAACTATATTAATCCTTGTGCATTTTTTAGGACCCTGATTTTCTGCTTCATATTAATCATATATACAAGTCTTTAATTAATAAGGTAAATTATCCTTAGAAATAGGAAATGCATGAATGGTCCACTGGGTGTTTGGATGGATGAATGGATGGATGGATGTTTGAATGGAGTTTTGGATGGATGGATGGATACATGAATGGATGGATGGGTGAATGGAAGGAAGGAAAAGGAAAAACAGTAAAAGAGACATTGAAAACAATTAAGTGGCTACCAACAGACCTTTAAATGCTTTACAGGAAATACACTTAAATAAATATTTTTACTTTCAGAGAAAAAATGATCCCTATGCTCTTGCATCCCTGGTGTCCTTTGAAGTTAAGAAGATGCCTTATAAAGATCAGCCAGCTAAACTCCCAGAAGGAAACATAGCAGTGAGTATCTTTCAAAAATACACGGGCACAAATTACATCATTAAAGTCATTTTTAATCACTGTTTAGGATGTGCTTGGTTTAAATGTTTACATTGAATTGAGAAAAGTTTCCCATTTTTACTTCACCTTTTTTTTTTTTAATTTCAGTCTGGAAATTTCCTAGTGCCTTTTGATCTGGTTTTTTAACTTCCAATATAAATTTCTACCTAAAAAATTGCAGTGTATTGCTAATAGTATTCATTATCTATTAATCAAGCCATTTTGTTTCAGAGAAAATCAGATAGCAATGATCATCATAATGAAATTGTACTTAGTCTTTAGTTGTAATGGCAGCAAGGTGAGTCTCGTTGGGGAGAGAAGAAACCCTTCCTTAGGGCAAGTTAGCCATGGCTAACTTGGCTACATGGCTTTAAGAGTCACTACTTCCTCTCTGTGCAAAGCCCATGATACCATGATTCTGACCTGGAAAGGAAAAAAAAAAAGCACACAATGAGCTTCAGTTGAATGAAATTTCCTTTTTTTAAAATAGGGCTTATTAAACATCACTGACACCCCAAATCTGTCACAGAACAACTTCTGACATCGTCAGAAATGTGGCAAAGGCTAWATAGAAGGATGAAGGTGTGGGTGATAGGGGACCAGCAGGCACCATTACCAAAACTGTGACATTCAAGTTGTGAAGTTAGTCAGAAACCTCTGAAAAACAGACTGCTCTGAAATACAGTATTAAGATTTCAGCTTTCATCTCTTGATCATTTCATGGATACTTACAACCCCCAGATTGAACTCTTTGTTATACAAGGTGTGGTTGGCAGGCTGGAGCCTTGGCATCACCTGGGAGATGATTAGAAATACAGGAACTGGCCTCACTCCAGACCTGCTGAATCCCAATCTGCATTTTATCAGAATCATYAGTGGATCCATAAACACACTCAAGTTTGAGAAGCACTACGTTAGATGGTCCTATTGATATTTCTTTCTACCTGGGTCTTTATTTATTACTTAATTGTAATAGTTAATCTTTATCACCTAATCTACTTTTAGCAATTTAAATTAAACTGATCCATTGGTCAATGATCCAACTTTGACGAATGGATTAATGAAACAAAATCATCACTCCTGCAGCTTTAAAAATACATAAATATAAATATATATGTGCTAAGATTTCATCCCACATATCTGGACTAGGTAGACCTGAGGTGGGGTCCTGGTGCTGTGCTTTAAAAGCCTTGCAAGTAAAATTGATCAAATTGTGTTCTATGCTTGTATGGATATTTCACAATGAATCCCACTGTTGTGTGTAATTAATATACACCAATAAAAGAATTTTTAAAAGCCTTACAAGTGCARATTGTGTAGTGGAACCAGAGTTAAGAACTTAAGCACATGCAGGTCAGATCACCTAGAAGAAAGCCTAAGGCTTGCATGATAGAGCCACTCAGATTTGATCCTGGCTCTGCTTTGCTCCACTTAGGAAACCTTCGGGAAGTCACTTAACTTCCCTAAGGCTGTTAACCTCATCCACATGTTGGCATTATGAAGGCAATTTTTTAAATTATGTACATAAAGCTCTAATATTGTACGTGCAACAGGTAAATCTCAAGTCTCAATGAATGCTTCTAACATTCCTCAATGTCTTACTTTCTCAGTCAGCCCACGTTAATGATCATCAAGATTTGCACAAAGTATTTTGAAGCCAGCATGGCCACATCTTTCTTTGTTTAGATCACCTCTCTTTTTCTCATGACATATCTGCTAAAGCTTAGATTTATGTTCCACCTAGAAAACAGAGGCTTTGGGCTTTTAATATAGAATGTTCATCCAAAGAGGTTCAAAGGCTTATCGCTTGAAAGGAGATAAATCCAATCCCTTTTGTTTTCTCTGAGCACTTTGTTCCATAACAGAAACACATGTTACAGTTGATTCCATCAACAGAATAGCATCTTTCTGTGCTGGCCACAGGTGATGGCCTGCTGTTCTCAACTCATCTCAAAAGATCCATGAAATGATCAAATGCATGCTTCCTCCAACCCGTCTCCGGTTACCATATTTCGAAGAAATAAAAGACTTATTATCTTATATAGATGATTTACCACACCATTTAGGTAAAGGTTATTGAAAAAACATTTAAGAATGGAAGAGCTTTCAAGTCTCCTGATATCAAACTGGAGATTTTGCCAGTACAGAGTTAGCTGTGCAATACAGGCAAATAGTTTTTCCATGGATTCAGTTGAGAGAAGAACTCTGGTTGGAGCTGGCAGACAATTTTTGCATCAACATCTTTTCAAAGATCTTGTTGTTCTCTCAAAAAGACCAGCAGAAGAGAATTGCTGTAAGGTAGTAAAATCCATTGGAATGGGTAGTTTTAGAATCATCAGAGTTCCAATCAGCCACTGGGAAAAGACTTTGTGATGAGACTACATACTTTGTTCTCATTTTCCCAGACATTTGTGCAGTATAGTTAGTTTGTACATCTTTCCAACATAGTCCTAATTCAGCCATTTCTTGAGCCTATGTAAGCTTTACATAGAGAAGAAACTAGCAATTTTCATCTTCTATTTGTATAATATCTGTGTTTATAACAAATGATGACTTCATGCAGTGTGACATGTGCCCTGTTCACAGGTGAGGCAAAGGTTGTAGAAGTCAAAGGGAACGAGAGAACACTGAATCATTATAGCACAACAGAATAAAGATTACTACTTTATTACTGAACATTATTACTGAACACTATTTTGGTTTACCAATTGTTATGGTTTGACTATGAGGTGTCCCCCAAAAGCTCCTGTGCTAATGCATGAATGTTCAGAAGTGATGTGATTAGATTATGAAAGCAGTAGCCTAATCAGTTCACCCTAGTTTGAATGGACRAATTGGGCGGTTAACTGTGGGCAGGAGGGGTGTAGCTGGAGAAAGTGGGTCACTCAGGGTGTGCCCTGGAAGCTTTCATCCTTCCTATGGTTCCTTTGTGCCTCTCTCTTCTTACTGTCTGCCATGAGCKGAGTAATTTCCCTCTACCATGCCCTTCTGCCATGATGTTCTGCCTAGCCTTAGGCTTGCAGCAATGTAGTTGGCCCACCAAGGACCAAACCTTGAAACCACGAGCCCAAATAAATTTTCCCTCCTCGAAGTTGTTCCTATCAGGTATGTTGGTCAAAGAGATTCAAGTCCAACAAAGACCCCAGTGAACCTTGACATTTGCATGCCGTGTCACTAATGCCCAATTCTATAATTTACATCTGGAAAAAGTATTTGTAGTGTAATTTCAAAGGGACTCATTATCAAATATTTTGTGAAAAAACCTTATTTCAAAATTCATATGTAAACTTTAGATCCATTTGATTTTAAGAATTGTTAGCAAAATTTCAACACCTGACAGTAGAATCCTAATATTAAATAATTGGTGTATAGACTTACGGCAGTGACTACTTACCTTGTAGGAGCAATTTAAATGCTGAAAATGAGGTCAGATCCACTTGGTGTTATTATTTTGTTCTAAATGGCACTGTAGGTAGGGTGGCTTGGTACATTTATTTAAAACATTCTTCTGACCCCACCAAAGTATGTTTATACAAGATTTTATGATACATAAATACAGATGTCAACATTAATTACATTTGCATATACAAGGAGTTTTTTTCTTCTATCTTGGTATTTTTTGTAAAAATATACAAAAACATATCATAAATGTCTGATAAAATGTAGACATTAAAAATTCATTTGTGGTCTTTCAACCATAATAAAAAAACAAGATTTATGACATGATGAAGGTAAGATTAAATTTTTTCCTATGTAAGATCACTTTAAGAAAATCCAAACCACTTATAATTTATGAATTCCACTTCCTAAACTTGCAGATAATAAGTGAATTGTTAAAATTGTATGCTATACTTTAAGTAACTACAAGTGGTCCAGTGTGGAAACTGCCAGTCATAGGTGGATATTGAGTTCCTGAAATGTGGCCAATGGGACTGAAGAACTGAACTTATAGCTTGATTTCACTTATACTCATTTAGATRTAAAATGAAAAACTGAAGCAAAATGAACTACTGCTTCCATTAAACATTGCTTCTTTTTTTAGGACTATATTTCCCTCTAACCATTGAAAATTTAGCCATTGTTATGTGTTACTGATGTATAGTGCACACTGGATTCAGAGACATTTTAAAAAAATAAAAAGAGTGTTAGATATCTTTTAAAATGTTTCTACCAATTACATATTTAAATGATAATAAGTTTATTGAAAATAGATAATAGTTAATACTTAGGGTTAAAATATATTAATGTCCCCAATTTCTTTTCACCCTTATGTGGCTTCTAGAAAATTGTAAATTATACATATGGCTCATTGGGGGGAAGCTATAGCCAAAAATAATAGAGAGCTTCAGAGAACACAGAGCGTCTAATAAATAATGTTTCAAACCAATGAAAGAGTCTTACTGTAAATCGTTGCTTAGTCATTAGAAGCCCTAAAAATCTTCTGTTTATTATCTGGTGGATCCTTCAATCCAAGATTCTTGTGGGCTTGTCAAGATGAGCTGTGAGACAAATATAAATATTAGAAATAACAAAGTTTTGGTATTTGTCAACATTTTACTTCCTGGATCAAGCTTCCCCCAAATTAGCCTGCAATTCCATAGTCCTGGCACATATTTAAATAAACCTTGGTCCTATAAAAGTGATCGATTCAACCCTTTCCTTTTAAGCTCACTGGCAGTTTAAGTCTCTAGTTTATTGACACAGTRTTGAGTTTCAGGAAAAGCTATGTTTTGCTGGTTTCCACATGCAGGTGAAATACCCCCTTGCCATTGGCAGATTTAGAGACATGAATGTCACGGAACTCCCTAGTCACTGTCCTCCCAGAAGGATCTCTCTTTCCAAGACGTGTATGTGACTTTTGTAATTACGCATTACATTTGGCTCTTTCCAGGGACTGAGCCTCCACATTGCAAGTCTGCAGAACTGCTCTGGGTCACTGTTRTTGATTTTCTGGATTTGCACTGCCCTTGGTGTAGTGACTTTATGAATATGCACCAAAAAGCCAAGAGAGGGCTGGGGCTGTAGCTCAGTGGCAGAGCAGAGTGCTTGCCTGCCTATCAAATGTGAGGCACTGGGTTTGCTCTTAGTACTATATAAAAATAAGCAAATAAAATAAAGGCATTCGGTCCATCTACAACTACAAAAAAAAAAAAAGCCTAGAGAAAATTCAGGCAGACACCAAGGTGAAGGAGGTCTCTACAGTTGCAGCCACCTGTAGACTGTGATTGGGCCATCTCAGTGCCATATGGCTGTCATATAGGCAGAGAGTGAGGAGGAAGAGTGCTGGCACAGAGAGACCCCCCAAGCTTGTCTTTGAATACTGTGTGTCCCATTCCCCTGATGAACTGCACAGGAATACATGTAGGCAATGTATAGACATGCTTCRTCCTAATACTTGAGAGAACTCAGAGAAAAGGTATGAAGCGGTACTTTTTAAATGAACTTAATGTTACTGGAAGCAGACTGGCAACTATTTTGATAATGAGATTTTCAGATTTTGGAACTGAAAGGGAATTTCAAAATTTTGGATCATGACATAGTGATCATTTCCTCACAGACTGTTTTAAGGCCCTGCTGTCCAAATTTTGGGAAGTAAAAGTAAGCAAAAAGCCAGCAGGTTTTAKAACTATCCCCATAAAGTAGTACCCTGCTTCAAGGGACTCTATTAAGCATATCTTGATCTATTTCATGTTTTATTTGTACATTTTCATCACTATTGCAAAATAAACCTTCAAAAGTCTTTATTAGCTCTTTGTAAGTGAACTTCCCTGCCTCTTTYTATAGATAGACCAGTTTTATAGACAATGCATCAAAGCCTGCTCTAGCCAAGTGGCAGAGGCACCTGGCATGCCATAACACTTCCTACTATTAGATGAACAATGTGAAGAGTCTATGCTCCTTATTTCATCTCCTTCAAAATTTCCTTAACTTACAAAGCTAGGATTGCTTYCTAAGTTTACCATGAAATAGTAGGAGATAACTTAAGATATTAATTAAGTGAATCAGGAAACTGAAGATTCTGAAGCATCTGTTGCTTTTCTTACCATGAATTTCCCTGTTAGCAAATCTGGCTCTTAACAATTTCCCTGTTAGCAAACTTGGCAAGTTCCAACACAGGCAAAAAACAACAACAATGAAAAAAATTTTTTTTTCTTGGTGGACTAGAACTTAGGGAGAAAAAACTTATTTTAAAAAATTACCAGAATTGTCCTTGGCTCCAGATTTCTCTCTCCTGGGTCATTGTAACTGGACTCTGAGCAGATGATCGCTACTGTTCCTTTCTTTTCCAAAATTCTGAAATTCTAATTACCAAAACTGTGTCAGTTTGCTTCCAGTAAAATTATGTTGAAATACTACTCCATGTCCTTTTCCAGAATACTGAAAATGTTAGGATTGAGCAGTGATTTCATGTGTATCATCAGATGTAACTAACCAAGGCAAAGAAACATAAAGAGAAATCATCTAGGTTCTGATATGCTCATGTAGTCACATACACACAAAGGATCATCTTAGAATAAATTACCGGAGCTGTAGAATCCAAGTGGCATTGCAGCCATTTGGGGTCCTTAAAATGCTTTTTTCCAATATGCGAACCATGTGTCTCATCCTTGAACAGTGGCAAGCAGCAGTTATGATGCCATCATTGGGATAGAATGTCACCCTTTCTTATTGATGAAATGGGGAAAATGCTAACAAGGAACATTAMTAGGCAAAGGGAGAAAGTGTAGTGGTAAGTAGATTAAGGCCAGCCTTTTTCTTATTTAGAAGGTCTGTCAAGTCTCTGGCACTGCTGTCAATGTTGAGTGACTACTGATCTCCCTATTCTGTGGATTCCATTGTTTAATCTGGATAAAAATGATACCAGGGCTGTAGATCCCAGGACTATAGAATCAGTGAATTTGGGCATCACCATATCTGCATATAGGGGAAGTGAACTGAAAGGGGATGAGCAATTTAAAAACCAGGACAAGCTGAGAAGACCATCAGCAAGGTGCCCACATCTAGTTAAGAAGGCAGAACAGAAGAGGGAGCATGGTTAGGGCCCAATACTTGGGTTCAGGCTATGAAAATATCCAGACATTTCCTGCCAGGGCAAGTTCCATAGCCACCAACCTTAGTCATGATTGTATCCTCTCCTGATGAGTGGGTTGTAGAATTGTGGTCTAGAGTTCTTGGGCATGTTTCAGGATGTTTGGAATCATGATCCGTTCAACCAGCATACTTAAAACTAGGAACACACAGACCATTAGTGAAAGCCATGCTTCTTACTCTCCGTTAAAACCTGGCATGCCTATATTGGTGAGTAACATTTGAGTCCAATAATTTTTATTTTCTTTCCCAAAAGGTTTTAGTAGCATGGCCGGGTCTCTCCTTGCTTTTTCTGGGGGCAGGGAGCAGTCTGCAGCTTCCTTGCACAGATTCCCAGCACACAAGCAATAGAAGTGCTTCTTCCGTCCACTCTGGGAGGCAAGGATGGGTCATAGGTGTGGAGCATGCCATCCAGCTAGAAAGGTCTCATTTTCCTCCAAGCTCCTTCACAACAGTGGGGAATGAAATGGGATCCAATCTCCAGATGCTTATTTCAATTTTGCACCCAAAATTGGATTTAGCATTGAAGGGGCTCCAACACATCAAGACGACATTTACTTTGCTCACTGCCACATCAACCTAGATAACATCAGAGATTCTCCAAAGGACAATGGTATTTACTTGAGAATAGAACAGCAGTGCAATGGAAATGTGCAAGCTGTAGTAAACAGTAAGCGTATTTAAAGMGGTTGCAGCAAGGCAAAATGTTTAAAGGCAAAAACTGGGAGGATTATATAAAATAGGGTGAAATGATAATCCTGAACCACAGAGTCTTTAAATAAGCTAGAAGAAAACAATTTTACAAAGCTGTTTGGCCGGCAAGTATCTGTGCAATTTTAGACTGGCATCCCCTTTGTTACTAAATAAATTAAGCTGAAAAGGGGGTCAGCAGGTGTTCAAATCTAGTTAGAAATCATCAAGAAGGTTAGAATTCATCTAATCTAATCTGATCATTTTACAGATGATACAATTGAGTCCCAGAAGAACTAAGCAATTTCCACCACTAACAATTGCCAGTCATGGGACTCTTTAGATTCTGTGCTCTATCAGTGAAGGAGACCCCAGTATTTGAAACCCAATTTAAAGTTCTTTCTTTCCACCTTGTTGGTTACTGGTCTGCAGCAACACACGACTAAATTAGTCAGGGTCACTCCAAGTGAATTGGGCTAGCTAATAAATAATCACAGGCACAGAAAGTAACTTTTTCTTGGGGTTCAGAGATAGCTCCTCTGCCTCAGTTCCCACTAGGGAAGTGGGAGGGGCAGATGAAGCATGTCTGAAACCATCCTATTTATTGAGGGGAGCTGTTCATACAACATCCCACCCAAAAAAGGTAAGGGGTAGTATTACAAAGGAACAAGAAGGCAGCCCACTCCATTGGGTAACACCCACTCCCAAAGCCTCACTCCCCTGCTTAGTGGAGATGGGGATCCACCTGCTTCCACACAGGGAAGCCAGTCTCCACATTTCCATCCCTCAAAGCTAGGGGGCGCTCAGCTACTATATGGCAGCTCCCAACACTGGTCCACTTCTCCCTGTCGGAGTCCACACCCTCTATCCCCCCACCCCTTGCCCATGACAAGTCAATCAGTCATGAAGCATCTATCATTAAGACTTTCACCCCATATGCCCAGACTTGGACATATGCTTGTTTTTTCAAGTCCGTGTTCAAATGCTTAATCTCACAAATCTCTCCTTAAAACGATTTCAGTTATTATATGGATCTGTTCAGAACTATCCTCAGTGTTATACAAGCAATTGCCGCCTTATTTCACCAAAGCATTTTTTCAAAGCTCAAAGCTTATTTGCTTTATTTTCATTTCAGATTAAGACCTCAGTTATTTGGGCAACCCCAAATGTATCCTTCTCCATCCCACTGTGGGTCATAATACTAGCAATACTTCTTGGATTGTTGGTTCTGGCCATTTTAACCTTAGCTTTATGGAAGGTAAGTTGATTTCCTTTATTTTTACTTTTGAACTGCAGAAGTCACTCTGCAGATATTGATAGAAAGATATTATTAGGGATTTTAAAAGATAATGCTAAAGGCATCATTTAGAGGTTTTGAAAGATATAAAGGATATAAAGGGAAAATTGTGTTTTATTTGCTTTAACATACTTGATTTGTTTGTGTGGCTCATATTTAAGAAAAAAGGGGGTATTTGTTGTTGGTTTTATCTTGAGATTTCTTGTGAATAAAAATATAGAAACTTAGGCTTTATTAACTAGGTAGGACCTGTGATATTCTGTCCAATATTCTTGGAGTGATAATGTTATTATGAAATTTCATTGACCAAGATCTTAAGCTTCTTATTGACATTGTACTATCAGTAATCCTTTGAGGGTTTTTTTTTTTCTAAGCAATGCACTGATGCAATTAAAATGTCAGTTCTAATTTTTTATTTTGATTAATTAAGCCAAATGGATCAYGCATAATGCATATCATAAGGTGCTTGAACTTGTTTTTTAATCTTGCCAAGTAATTTGTCTTWATTGGGATCCATAACTTATTCTGTAATGTGTTATACTGAGGTTTATTCTAAAAGTCTGCAATGGGAATTTAATGCTGGCCCCAAAACATGTACAACTGCCAAGTCCTACAGAGCTTTCCATTCCAAAAGAGAAACAATGCAATGATTACATGACTATAAGCTAATTCAGTCACATCTTAGTTAATCACTATTGTTGTGGTTCCCTAAAAAACATTGCGTATTTTTATTTTGAAACAATTTGTAGCATGCTTAACAGACCCATAAACTGAAAGAGCTTTGGCTCCAGTGAAAGAATGGTTTTTCTAATCATTATCACCTATTATGTGCCATCCTGAGCCCACATAGGCAATGGAACATATTTAGAAATGACTTTTGTATTATTCTGCTATTTTTATAACTTTATTTCCAATAAATATAAAGTACAATCCAAAGTACCAAATGACAGAGCATTCTGCTAACAAAACAAAAAAAGCTCATGTTGGGCTTCCAATACAAGAAACAATAAATAAGAATTGAGGTTCCCAATTCCTAGGAAAAGATATATCCTCCTTGGTGAAATTCAGGAGGAAGAAGATTCTACAATCATCTCTTCCCAAGTTAATCTATGTAAAGTCACTAAAATGCCTAAAAAACAAATCAGCTCTCCCTCTATGTACTGCATGTCCCACCCAGTGCTGAGGGATATGTAGCACACTTTCTTCCTTTAATCCACCCCATGGCCACCTACAGAATTCTTCAGGAGATCATGTCCCTTTTGTGGTCAACAATTAGCACTGTTGCTGACTCAGCAAAGATGCAGAAAAGCAGATAGGGCATCCTTGGGACACACTGCTGTAATCCCAGGAGAATATCCAACAATCATGAGTGGTTGATATAAAACAAGTACTTTCTACCACTACTACCCAAACACTCTGCCCTCCTGCCCACCTTGACCCATGCCATAAACTCTCTCCAGGTAAACAACATGCTACCTTCTCCTCTTAATTTGGAGAACTGGGCAGATTATATTCATACGGCCCCAAGTTCCTTAGGAAATACATAAAGTGAAAATTCTTCAAATGAGGGAACTCCACAGGTTCCCCAAATGGCTTGATTTTATACCCTGTTTTTCTTTTCGTAGTGCGGGTTCTTTGACAGAGCAAGACCTCCTCAGGATGATATGGCTGACAGGGAACAGCTGACCAGTGACAAAACTCCTGAGGCATGACAAGGAAAAGCAATGACCAAAAACCCAAACACTGATCCTGTTCAAAGAAAAGAAAGGACATAAGGGCTAAATAAAGGCTTTCCTGTACCTGCCAGTGACCTAGGAAATGTAGGGCCCCTGAGATTATCACCTCATCTKCTCCACACTTTAGGAAAGTTTCCATAGAGCCCGGAAAACCTTCTGGAACCAGGAGATGCCTACACTGTAGAAGCAATCAGCATCATGGAAGATTTCTTTTGCTTTCCTCATTCCATATTTGACAGACATTTTGAAATGGTTCAAATGGGAATGAGAATTCAAGTTGTTGTCCAGGTCAATCCAACTTGAGTTGCAAAGTCGAAATGTCAGAATCACTATAGAATTGGGGTGAACTAAGACTGAACTGTACAACACTACTGTATCCAATGGAATATCTGACATCTCCCTATGGAAAAGAAACATTTTGAATGAAGTGATGGCTCAGGGAGATACGCAATAGTTGTCGGTACTGTGAAAGTACTTTTGAAATGACAAAGATCATTCTGTAAGCGGGGAGAAATTTTTATTTATTTATTTTCCATTTCTCTAAGTTCAGATTCTGGTTGTCTAGAGGATTTGGAAATTAAGATTTGGTTAGCTAGTTTTCTGAATCGCTCACCTCTTTTCCTCCCATGATAACCACTTTGTGCAGTAACATTAACAGACCATATTAAGAAAAAGCAAATTGATATTAGAAGTTTGTTTTATTTAATATTTTCCTGCCTCATACCAGAAATCACTACTATTCACACTCTCTGAAACTCACAGCTGCTTCATTTAGCCTAACAAAAATGTTGGCATTTTTATTTCCTTTCATATATATATATATTTTTTTTTTTAAATATTTCCACTCACTTAGTTGATACATGATTTTCGAGGTACTCATCACACTATGTGGTGTTTTAAAGTAATGGTAAAATTTCTAGAGTCCATTAATAAAAAAGAAATTTAACAATATGGATAAACATAATTTTTAATAGCTATAACAAGCAACACCAATATTTACCTTAGGATTAAATACCTGTTTTCCCTGCTATACTTCATGCTTGTATACACAGAGAAAACATGTTGAAGACAAATAGGATGGAAACATATAAGTTATATAGATGTGAGACACACCTAGAAAACTAATTCCTAAAGATTTTATTTAAAGTTGCTTATTCCAACTTTATTATTCATCTTTTGCTAATCTTTATAGTATATAACCTTGGAGGATAATCTTTTATTTAAGCTATTTTCCCATCATCTTTAATTTAACCATCAATACTTTTGTTTAAAACACTTGTAAATAATCCATAATCATGTGTAATATTATCATTTTGAAATAAGATTGGCTAGCCAAATTCATAGTCTGCACAATTTTGTATACTTTTTTGTATACTTTTTATAATAATGGGAAACATTATTATTAACTATGAAGAAATGCTGAACAAATTTTTATGTGCAATACTTTATAGACCTATGTATCTAAGGCATGTTTACACTGGCATTAGTTTTTTTAATTAATATCCTGAATATTAAATATGATAGAACAAGCTGACTATAATCCTCAAGTTTACAAAGCAGTTGGAAAAAAATTGTGTCCCAATTTCAACAATCACACTTTATTTGAAAAATGAGCCAAACTCACAGACACTAAATTTTATGTTGTGCATTAACCTGGAGAGAAGCCATTTGGCTACAGCTGCAGAACCTCATTGGAAAGCAGACGAAAGGCACATGGAAAAACACATTGTTGCAGTTCATCTTCTTTTTGCTTGTGAATTAAATCCTGTCCTGGTAGCTATTTCATGTCTGTCAGGAGCTGAAGCCAAGCTCTCAGTCTGTGCGGCTGATGGTAAAGAAGCATGATGCGTGCCTCTAAGAGACTGAGGATTCCCACACCAGCCTCTGGGGGTCTTTGGTGTTCAACCTTTAGGTAGAACTGGTTTTACAGATTGCCGACCATCTGTCATCTATAAGATGTGGCCTAAGGGAAGCCAGGAAACTCTCTCTCCCCCAGATAATGGCCTGACTTTTGTCGTAACTGACTTGTGACCAACAAAAATTAGCCTTGGGACTTTTGGTCAGAGACCTGACAAAGTGCACCCTTTGCCTTGAAGAAACTTARAGCCAAACATAGGGAACTGCATAGATAGTGCATGCAGACACTTGAGAAAACTAGAGGTGCCCGGAATGGGACTCAGAACAGAGTAAGGCATGAGAACTTCAAAGGCCAACCATAGCTTCTACAGTCACAGCCGGGAGGACACTGCTGCCAGTAGGCACTGTGGGGGAGCATCCTATGCACAAAGTCCCTCAGAACCTCAGAACGTGGAAGCAAGTGGAGGGAGGGAGGAGAGTAAGGTCAGGTGAGCCTTCCAGTCATGGGTTCTTTSGCACTCCCTCTGCATGGAGAGCACCCTGGCTGCACTGAGGAGATAATGCCTACAGCTTTGCCTATTTCTTTCCTAAGTCCCAATGCCCTGTGCTCCTCTTAGAACCTATTTGTATTTCTCTTCAAAGAATTCCCTTTTCCAATTCTTGCAGCTGGTTTTTAAGATATGGGAAAATGGCCAAATTAAGTTTTATAAACTTGGAGATTTTTTTATGCAGTAAACGAATAACAAATAACTAGTTACCACTAAAACCCCACTCTTAAAACTCAAATATTGTTTTATTTAAATACATTTGTAGATATCTGTGAAGAATTTTCAGGTACCTAATTTACCTTGTCGTTAATAAAACTAAAATTAAAGACATGATGGAATATTTGTGTTTCATTTTATGCACAACATACAGCTTTGCTATAATAGCCAGAAATAAAAAAAATCATTCTTATACCTTTATTCTTTTAAAATCTTTTAACATTGGAAGAAATTTAAAGCAAAACTACCTGCTCCTTGGGATGATGAAGTTTCTACTTAGATTGTGGACATGGTTGTTCAACTCTGTGAGTATGTAAAAACTATTGAATTATACACTTTAAGTGGGTAAATTTATGCTGTGTGAATTATATCTGAATAAAGAGATTAAATATTTTTAAGTCGCTCCTAATATTTCCACCTTTAAACAACTGATTTCTTTACATTGCCTTTTACATTTTGTCCACATGCACATCTTAGCTCCTTTTTCTTCTTATTTCCCTTGTACCTTTGACCAACATCATTTCTTCTCCTATCCTCCAATAGCATTTTGTAAATGACTTCACCTTTCCATCTGTTTACATGACCATATTCCATCTGAACTAAGCCTCAATGAAGAAGAAATTATATCTTCTCATCTGTGTTTTGTAAACCAAGCAACAACACCTACCATATATATAAACGATGCTCAAGAATTCTCCTAGAATAAATGAATTAATGTATTCTGTGTGCATAGTAATAATCATGGTGACATGCATTTTGAAATCCACTTCCATGACTAAGCACCAGAGTACACACAAATGTGTATACATCCTCCTGTTTACAAGGCCCATACAATGCTATTACCAGTTGAGCATCCTTAATCCAAGTATCTCAAGTCTGAAATGCTCCAAAATCTAAAACCTTTTGAGCAGTGACATGATGCCACAAGTGGAAAATTCCACACCTGACTTCTTGCAATGTGTCACAGTCAAAACACAGGTGAACTAAAAGTATTGTATAAAATTGCCTTCAGGCTCCGTGTATAAGCATATATGAAACATAAATGAATTTCATGTTCAGACAGGTCTCACCCCAAGATCTCTCATCATGTATGTATGAATATTCCAAAATCCAAAATATTTCTGGTGACAAGCATCTTGGATAAGAGATGATCGACTCATATAATAGTTTCCCAATGTTCTATTCAACTAGCAAACCACATTTATTTAACCATCTCCCTCTTGTTGGGAATAACTGTTCACAGCTTTATACATTAAGAATAGCATCAAACTGAATACTATCATATGTGGGGCATTCTTTTTTTATTTCACTGAATGAAGTTTCAAGGAGGGGGAGTGCTTAGTGAAAGTATATAAAGATGTTTATAGCTCCTGATCACACGTTGCTCTTAAGAAGACCATATCAATTTGCATCAACTTAAACACATCATTTTCTTCACAATTCTGTCATCATTATTTAAATGGTTTGGTGATAGTTTTTGGATTTTATTTTTATTTATATTTCACTAAAATTCGGTGAATTTAATGCACATGTTTAATATTGAGTTCTGATATATATCAGCCACTCAATTTATTGGCTACATATCACAAGACATTTATATACTTGCCATTTCTCTCGCTGACATTCTGAATCTCAACAAGAACCTACTTCTGAGTACTTTCCCTGTAGCTCAGAGCAAGCAGTTGGATGAATCCTTCACTTCATATGGTATGTCACTTGCCCTTCAAAACTTAGACATATCTAAAAGCTGATGGTGGTCCAGAGGTACTTGTGTATCTAGGAGGAAGATATGCTAAACCAAATCTGAAAAAGGGGAATATGGGTGCCAAAGATCAAGATGGAAGCGCCCAACCCAATAAAAACTAGTCTCTTCAGGGTTAGACTTGCCTGAGGCACACACAGAAGGATCCATCCTGAGTCAGCCCCACTGGTTAAAGCCTGCACATATTCACAGTGAGCAAGAAGAGGAACTCTTTTTCATGATACTAAAATACTTTGTACATATAAGGTGAAACTCCGCCATCTCAACAAATTCTATGGATATCCTTGCTCCTTTCCTCCATTTTATGTGTGAACGTTCACTTTACTGCACTAATACCTTCTAAACATTGAGTTGGGATTTGGTTTCCTAGACAGGGAAAAATGAGAAAAGGCTTAGTCCTCACAGAATTCTCTGGCAAGGTAGAATTCCCTTACAAGGTACACATTTCCTCCGTGAAATTTACAGCACCTGTTCAGTTTAACCCTATAGAAAGATCTCTCTGGTGCTCTCAGGAAGAGCATAAACATGAAAACCTTGGTCTGATATCTATGATTGCTAAGTCAGTGACTCCCTAGAGTCTAATGTTCTTTTTTCAAAACAGAAGATATTGATTTCTTTAGCATGAGGATTTTAAAACATTTAAAATTTAGGCTCATTTGAAAGCTCAGTAAAACCCTAATTCTCCCAGCAATGCTTAGTTCAGTGGTGAGTTCAGAATGGCCAGTGTACATGAGGTACAACTTGGCTTGCCATTTTTAAATTTCTCCACCCCACCCGCAAAATACCATCTGCCTGACACACTGCCTTTGAAATTGTTTATGAGCAAGTTCTCTGTTATTTATGATTGTTGGACAAAATCCATATGGAAATGTAGCCTGATACTAGGGCCTCTTGACAATAAAAAGTCTTGAATTTAACTTCTATTGGCGCCATGATATGACACAGTAGGAATGTTCTTAATATCTCCATGCCGTTGCTTATTTTGATTGTGCGTTGTGTTATAGAAACAACCAGGTCATCAACAAATTATTCTGCTCTCCAACTGTTAGATGGAATTCTTTTTTAAGTAGTAACAGTGGACCTCCCTCGTTTCAAAGTTTTAGATTTCACCTTTTATTCACTTAATTGACTGTAGGGTACAGACATATTTACAATTTTTACTTCCCCAAGGATTTTTAATTTTAAAAACACTCCATATTTTTCCTATGTTTTGGTTTCCTAAGTCTACCATGAACTGAATGGCTTAAAACAACAGAAAGTTACTGTCTTACAGTCCTAAAGGCCAGAAATCCAAGACCAAGGTGTTGATAGGGTGTTGAGGAAGCACCTAAGTGCTCCTAGCTACTGGTAGCCTCAGGTGTCCCTTGGCTAGTGTCTGCCCCTCACCAATACCATCTCTTCCCAGGGAAATCTCCCTGCGTGTCCTCAGCCTCTTCCCTCTGTGTCTTGTCCATGTTTCCTCTCTTTATAGACACTGGCCATATTGAATTACGGTCCACCCTACTGTTCTCATTTTAACTTGATTACCTGTATAAAGATGATCCTTCTGAATTGGATTGTATTCTGAAATACTGAGGGTTAAACACCACATTAAATATAACATCCTCCTTCAAATGTATCTATCCTATAAGATAGTTTGAAAAAAAAAATGAACCCAAGATGGAAAAGCACATTCACATTAAGGATAAGCTGGATTTAAAGAGAATCGCTTTACATCAAACCTTTGATTTTGACTCATCCAGGAGAAATGCAAGCTTTGTTAAGTGCATAAAAGATTTACAAATATTTATTTGTTTTTCATTCACTTGCTGCCACCAT